GAACATGCCCAAGGTCCCATAGATTAATTTACTCTAATCCTGCCTAAAAGGATTTCAATTTGAGAATAGTCCAGTAGAGTTCCTGATGAGTAATAATATCGAACCGGGTAAACGCGCGCCCCATGCTTGGTATTGCTGGCACACAAAAACATATGACTAATAAAAAGGAAGAAAAAAGGTCTCATAGATTAATTTACTCTAATCCTGCTAAAAGAATTTCAAGTGCCGATGGGCTATTGAGGATTCCCTCTGGTTGTTGTTGTTGTTGTTGTTTTCACAGTTAACAAATAACTTCTAGAGTTTCTTCTTCGCTTGGTTTGAAGTATTTCCAGTTTATTTCTGAATTTTTCTTTTCTTCACCCAAACGTGTGATTCCAGTGATGAAAAGAAATAATCCGTGAACGACTCAAAGGCCTAATCTGTTCTCTGCAGTATCCAATTCCACCGAATTCACGGCTTATCACATACTGCTTGAGAGAGGGAAACAAATAAATGCATTAGGCCTTATGTTGTGGTGGAACTAAAACAACTTGAAGGATTTAATGTATAATCCTCAACTCACCGCAAGTATCCTAAAATAAATCATATATAGGTCACTTATATGTTTGAATAACATGCGACTATGGCGTCGCAATTAATTATTCTCATTGTTATTCAGACGACTAGCTGGTAGTTTATTTGGGAATTTTTCTTTTCTTTACCAAAACGTGTAATTTCATCGAGAAAAAAAAAGATGTAGGAGCCTAATCTATTTTATGATTCGCTACTCCCTCTGCAGTAGACTAGTTTCGCCGAATTTACGGCTCATTGGAACTGCTTGAGAAAGCGGGGCAAATAAATATATTAGTCATCTCTTTTTATTCTGACAGTTAATATTTGTTATTAGATAAAACTGCTTACTTTTGCAGATTCGTAAATACTTGAACACACCCCTTCTTACACTACAGTCTTTCTTCACTGACTGCAGTATTAAATCTAAATCTTTCACGTGTTTTAGACTTAAGAATCGATGAACTCTCGTGCATACATGATACTGTGTTTATGCTCAAACGTTTTCTTGATCTTGTATTTAAGAAGCTGGACAAAGAGAGAACCGATTCGCAAACAGTATTGTAATAACATTTTTTATACACTGTAACGTTTCCATGGAAACTATAATCATATTGTTTGGATGTTAATATCAGGTCTGTCTCTTACAGGCTTTGTCTGCGCCTAGTTTATATAAAGTTACATTGCTGGAGCGTTCTTCTTTGTATAAAATATTCTACTATATAAAGCTTATTTGTGTGTTTTCAACAGCTCTCCTTCAGGAAGGTCAAAACCTAAACAGAAGAAGTCGGAATCAGGGAGATAATGGGAAAAGGGACCGAAAGCGGAATTTTGAGTATGGGTGGGTTGTCTTTAATATTTAACAATAACATATATGAAAAAACTGTTTTTTTTCCCTTTTTTGTTTTTAAATTGAACAAGGATACAATTTATGATTGTTCAACTCAACAATCAATAACTTAATGTTTAACGAGGACCCTACGGAACTGAATAATTAATTTAAAAATACAATAACAACAACTTTTACAGTACTAGTGATCTGATTTAGACCCATAGTATTGGGGTCATCATTAATAACTTGTTTCTCATAATAGTCCTAATAATAAATATATCATCGAAAATTTAAGCATAACATTCGAGACAGAAGTAAACGTCCCCCTTAATTTAAAAATACCATTACCAGCAACTTTTACAGTAGGCACGATCTGACTTAGACCCATAGTATCGGGTCATCATTAATAACTTGTTTCTCATAATAGTCCTAATAATAAGTGAACGTCCCCCGGTTGGATAGCGGTAGGTTTACGGACTTACAGCGCTAAAATCTGGCGTTCTATTCCCGCGATGGACACAGTAGATAGTTCAGTATGACTTTGTTTGAAACCAAACTAGCAGAAGTGTACTTACGCTAAAAAAAAGTAAGACATTAAAGTTTTTTCTGAATGTCATGTTAATTGTGTAAGAAGTAAAAATGCGCGATTATAGATTAATCAAGTAACTTATTATAATTATCAAATTTTATTTTTTTTTATTTTTCATAGGTGAACATTCACGATGTTGAATCATTTCCACTTGACACTAAAAATTGTGTTTAATATATAAACTCCGGACACCAAGCATGTTGCAAGTGTATCCACAAAAATGACATAGCTATTCAAATCTTATCAATCATGTTTTTATAACTTCCCTAAAATATTTCTTTTTGAAAGTTTTCTTTTATGCAGTTGCAAGCATAAATGTTAAATTATTGCCCCCATCCCCCCCCCACACAGTTATTCACCGGTGAGACAGCGGTAAGTTTAAAGGCTTACAACGCTAAAAATCTGGGATTCGATTCCCCACAATGAACACAGCAGATCGCTCAATATGGCTTTGCTCTAACACAACCAAACCCCCCCCCCCCACCCCCCCCGGGGCCCAGGGAGAAGTTTTAAGG